TACCCCAGGGACAGTGGCACTGTGGCCCCTTAACCCACTGTCCTCTGTCTTCCACAGACTTGTGCAAGAACTGCCACCACCTGATCGCACACCACGAGTACACCTTCAGTGTGGTGGACGACTACCAGGTATGCCCAGGGGACCGTCTTGTGTCCCCCCACAGCCCCTCTCTGGCTCCAGCGACATCCTAAGTCGAGCCCTGGGCTCTTCCTCTGCCACTGGCTTTCTAGACCCACCCTGCTGTGGGCTGCTGTGCTAATCCCACCTGCCCTGCCAGCCCCAGAAGGGATCCAGGCAGCTTCTGAGGTGAGCCGTGACATCAAGGTCAAACAACAAAGGTTTCTGAGCCACGTCCCTGTGCCTAGGGCTACCTGGAGCCCCCTGACACTAGTCCTTGCTTCGTTGAGGGGGGGTGGCCCAGCTCACCACTTGCCTCCCATGGAGGGGCTGCGTGGGAGCATCAATGATGTGAGTGGCCCAGAGCAGCAAAATGTGGCTGTGTGGCGGAGGGCCCTGGAGCTCTCTCAGCCCTCCTTCCTGGCACGTTTCCTATTCAGCACCTAAACACTGGAAAATGGGCTCTGGGGAGCCAATGGGGCTTGTCCTGAGGGATGAAACGAGATCCCCCTAGGTCTGATTGCAATCGAGGATCAGGTGCCGGCTCCGGCTCTGGTTTCCCTAGCTGTGCCCGGAGTGGGGGCATGGCTCTAGCAGCTCTCCCACCTCCTGTCCCACTGCAGGAGTACACCATGCTGTGCCTTCTCTGCGGCCGGGCCGAGGACTCCATCAGCATACTGCCCGACGACCCGCGCCAGATGACCCCGCTCTTCTGAAGCTGGTTTGTATCCTGGCATGAACCCCTGTGTGCCGCAGGGCCTCCCTCCCTGTTCCCCACCATGCAGAGCTGCAGCACCGGTGGATCCCTGGGGACAGCATAGTCTCTTACGTGATTCTCTTCTCCAAACCTCCAGCCTGGATGTGGTGGACGCCCAGCATCAGATGCCCCCACCTGCCCGGTGGCAGCTCAGCTGTACCCAGTGCCCTGTGGCTCTGACCCCGGCCTGAGCTCCCCTTGTGCTGAAGACACGAAGAGGGCCCAGCATGTCATCATCCCAAAAAGGGGTCCAAAAGGATGCCTGCACCGTGGGTCAATAAACGTCATGTGTTACAGCTTAGCAGTGCAGGCAGGAGTGTTTTGGGGTGGGTTTCACCCCCCTGGACTCCCCGTAACTACTGGAGGGTGTTGGGGCCTGGCGCAGGAATCAGGGGGTGCTTTTCCTTTCCTGGGAGCCTGTGGGATTCCTCCCTTTGTAGCGGATCTGGCCCTTCCCAGCATCCCTGAGCCTGCTCAGCTCACCAGTGCTCTCCTAAATCCTGCTGAGAAGTGACTTCATTATTTTCACTCCCCTAGGGGCTGTGTGAAGCTTGTAGGGTCACTGCATTCCCCCGGGGCCTATTTCCCTGAGGTGTGGAACCCAGCCCTGCCCCACCAGGGATTCCCGTTTCTGGGGTGAGAAGGAGCTGGGTGAGCCGCGGCTGCCAAAATCCCTCCCAGCCCTGCCCCACCAGGGATTCCCGTTTCTGGGGTGAGAAGGAGCTGGGTGAGCCGCGGTTGGCACCCAGCCCCAGCAACACCCGCAGGTGCTGCCGGTCTGGCACTGCTCCATCCCTGCGCCACCATTTCCTGGATCCTGCACCCTGGGGCTCATCCCCGGCAGCCCCCCACAAACCACGCGGACGCACTCCCTCCGGCTTATTTATTGCCTCCGGCCCATGCCACCCTACTGGCTCTTGCTCTCTGCCCCATCAAGCCCCCTCCCTAGAGCTGTTTCGGAGGGAACCGTCACCCGGCAGAGACCTGGGGCTGTCCTAGGGGGCATCAGCCGGCGGGGCATGGGGGAAACGCCGGAACCGGCCCTACTTGGCCAGCTTGAGGAGACGCTGGATGTCAGGCTCCAGCTGGGCGGTGGGCATGCGGGGGCTGTAGCGCCGGAAAGGTTCCCCTTCGGGACCCACCAGGAACTTCTCAAAGTTCCAGGAGATGTCGGAGCGCTGTACCGGGCTCCATATGAGGAATCGGGGCTCGGTCATCAGGTTTACCGCCTCATCAGTCGGCTGGGGCAGGTGAGCCTTCAGGTAGGCGAAGACGGGGTGGGTGTCCTTCCCATTCACCTGACACTTCTGGAAGAGGGTGAAGTTAGGCTCGAAGCCACCCCCTGGCCGCACATACTTCAGGCTGTTGAGGATCTCCTCGTTAGTGCCATTCTCCTGCAGTGGGGAAGGAGAAAGCCGTGCTGTGGTTTTCCCTGCTTCCTTGCACCCGAGGCCAAGCACCGCGGTGGCCCATCCCCGGGGAACTTACCTGGTAGCCAAATTGGTTGCAGGGGAAGCCCAGCACGCCCAGCCGCCGGGGGTAGCGGGCTTGCAGCTGGTTGAGCTGGGTGTAGTCCCGCACCGTGGTGCCTCAGAGGGACGCCACGTTCTCGATGAGGACCACGCGGCCCCGGAAGACGTTGAAATCCACCTTCTCCCCCTGCAAGGAGGTGGCACTCAGGTCGTAGAAGGACTTGGCGATGGGGACGGTCATGGCTGCGGGCGCGTATCTGCCTTCCCCGCGCGCCTCTTGGTGTGCCTTAAGGGCTGCCTGTTGCCCACGTGACGCGCTGGCTCCAAAGGCCTCCTCGCCCCACCGTGAGTTGGCAGAAACCGGAGCCATCCCACCCGCTGGCACCCACCCAAGGCGGGAAGGAAGAGGCAGGGAAGGGCGCAGGTGGCACAGGGCCAAGGTGATGCTCCTACCTGCCTGAATAATTCATGGCACGGTGTGGTGCAGCATGACTGCTCCTCCCCGTGCCCGCGAGCTGTGTGATGCTGTGGGGCTCAGTGCCTCCAGCCCGGCACGGGCTAATGCCGAGGGCTGGGAACACCCAGAGGAGTCAGGAAATAATAGGACTCCAGGAGATGGGGTTGGCTGGGGCGGAGGAGGGGGTGACTCGGAACCCGGGTGAGCAATGGGGGGAACGGGTGCCCCAGCGCATCTCCTTCCCCAGGGCCTCCTGTGCTTGCCGTCCCAGTGCCTGCTGCCTTCCCTGCC